CTGAAATTTTAACTATAACCTCATATCACGATACATATTGTAAAAAAACCAGTGGATGCAGTGACGTTTCTATGGGAGAGGCCCGCTTTGCCTCCCCCGCAATCCCCCCACCCACCCACTTTAAAATATTTTATCATGTTACATAGTGAAAGAATTGCTTGTAGCCGTCCCCTTGAAACTCTTGTAGCCCTTGTTCAGCTCATTCACCTGATCTTTCTTTGAAACGCAACTGAGTGGATGACGCCAATGGTTCTAGTCAATTCCAGAAAACAGGCTGATGTCAATAGTTCCTGGAAGGTATATCTGATGATAAAAGTGTATCATAGTAAATAAGTATTAATCAAAACCAATCAAAATCAATCAAAACAGAGATAAATCAGAAGAGGATGATCAATCAAAAGATTAACGCCCTCAAAAGGAGAAAATAATCACAGCCAATCCATTACCTCCCTTTGATATTCAATTGAAATATGAGAGAGAGTGGCACATGGCGGACAAGACAGCCTTAATTATAACAGACATATTTCATTACCATTTCTCAGCTGATCGTAATTAATAGGTTGTTTGATTGAAACATAATCCGATCCTGGTCATTTCAGGGTACTCTACATAAGCCTGTATATCATATAACATGAAGCATGTAGGAAAGAAAAGGTATCAAACATGCCATAAGAAGAACTTACACCAAAATAAATCTGACCTTTGACCTGTGAAGGCATTAACTAATTAGATTAATTGATTAATTAATATACACCAGTATATCATACCACTGATAGAAACATTTTTCAGCTAAAGTTGAAAGCTATACAGTCCTCTACTTTGTCACTGTACATCTATCAATTTTCAGCTATCTCTGAGTAACAAATTGTTTCAGGATCTCTTTAATTATTACCATATCACTCTATAATTGATGTATTGAGCACTAGGCTTATCTTTTGGGTAATTATAAACGTGAAATATTTCATCCCAAATTACAGAATCCATTTCTTTTTATTCTACCATTGTCTTTTTTTTTTTTCAAGCTAGCTTTACAAGAAGGCAAAACTAGAGTGTAAAAAAGAGTGGGTCTAAATGGATGAAAGATACATAACTGAAAAAAAGGACACTTCTTAAGTTTGTTTGCAGTTTAAAAAGTAAGGCATTTGCGTCATTCGCCTGCTATACTACCTTGACCTTGACAGGAGGAAGAGCTGATCATAGAGTATCTTAATTAGATATTAACGAGATAAAGAACTAATTAACAAGATTAATAAGAGAGTGTATCTTTGACAGGACTGACAGTCAAAGGATGGGATAAAAATAGGATTATTGTTACTTAGTGCTGGTCAGTTTTGTTTACTGTTTCATTCACATCAGATGTTAATTAATCATGTGATGAGGAAATTGAACATATACAGGCTCTCTTCTTCCAGGAGCTGATAGGGAACATTGTCCAGTCAAGCAGATAGTGGGGTTGGGGTAGAGGGGGGGGGGGGGGAATGAATTGGCACTGGGGCTCAGATTTTGCTAAAAACATGAATAAACCAAGTACTAAAGATCCAACCCCATATTGGCAAAACATTGGTAGCAGCAGGTAATGAAATTTATGAGGAAGCGATTTTTAATCATAACTTTTTGTTAGCAAACACATTTTGTAAAATATACACAAATTTGACAAGGCTGAAACCAGATTGAAGATAGGATCCTCAGAAACTAAACATTTAAAATAATATGGAAAGTGTTGGAATTTTTTTTTTTATTTTAAAAAAAACCCATTTGGTCTAAAATCATAAATTTAATATTTTATGTCATAGAACATATATATGTTTCACTGACAGTTTTGTTTTACCTTCATAGACTATTCCTTTAACTTTTAATTATGAAATACTTACGTGGCACCAAACAGGGTATGCCTACTCTTCTTGACAATTGATACCACTTTTCATCATGAAATACTTATTCACTTATTATTGATATACTTCCTCATATGAAAAGCTCAATAGCTGCAACCAATGTTTTGCCAAAATTGTTTGATTTCAGGTTGTATTTTGTGGTTCAGATTTGATTTATTTATTTTTACAATCTTACCAGAGCCAATTGGTTGATAATTTCTTCTTAGCCTCCTCCTCATCAATCTGTCCTTGCCGAAACTGTGATTCTATTTCCACCTTACGACTCTGTATTAAAAACAAAATTACAAATGACAATGACTGTCGTATAAAATTGTCATATAAAATTGAGAACGAGTGTAGTGTTTCAGTCATCTGATACGAAAAACCATCAAAATCAATTGCATTTTTTTGTTTATAGTTAAATCTATTCTTAGAATAGCATCTGAAAGAATCCAGTTAGTTACAAATTTGACTAGAGATGTATTTCATTTTCTTACCTCCAAAAGAGAAGAGTACAACCTATCGACGAATGACGTCCAGCCTTGGGGAAGTAACATACAGCGATGCCATTCTGATGGTTGAATAGGTACCTAGAAAAGTTTCATAACTTTTCAAATATCAATCTTACATTGTACTGAGTTAAACGGTGATGTCCATAAAAGCACTGGCCTAGGTCACAAGTCAAAGGCTTATGATAACATAGTGTAAAAAAGATATCTAAGTTTCCCTATCATGTCTCGAAAAAGAAAAGAAAACAGTTTTTATAATAGGTAAACTTCTCTTTTATGATAAATTCAAAAATCATTTTCGAGAGGGAATCCATTTTTTTTTAAAAGTTGTTTGATAAATCTGAATTCTGTAACTTCCATTAAAAAGTTATTAAAAGATAATTTTCCACATGTAAAGTTCATATTTATGTTAAACTTCCACTTTAGTTAGAAAGGGACCAGGATTTTTTATTTGAGCCGTCTGCATTAACTAAATACTGTACCTCGTTTAACAATGTTTGGAAAAATTGCTGATAATTTTTACCATGACTGATGATATAATGACGTCTAGGTCTTCCATCTCGACCAACTTCTATTGGTGGATCATAACAAAACAACAGACTTACTGCAAAATATAATAAAAAAATTAAAAAGGGCGGCAAAATAGGTCAATCCTGTTCATAGGGCTTATATGGAAAACTCGAGATAATACACTTGGATATTTCCCTCTGTTATTAATGTATGTCTAGGTGGAGGAGATGGTGCTGAATGGAAAAAGTATTTAATTGTTCAGATGAGTTATAAACCCAGAACCCGTGTGCTACAGGCTGTGCAGATTAAAATACCCTGACAGTTGAAATCCAAAGAAAATTACTTATACCCTCTATCCTAGTAAGATTTCCTTCATTGAAAACTTCAGTGTATTGTCTTTATATGTTACCCCAATCTACTCAAGGAGAGTATTTTGTTTCATTGTCACTGACTGTAGCTGATTGTTTACTTGTCTCTGCCAGTGCTTAAGTTAGTTCTGAACAGATTATATTCTTCCTTTTGATAAATCTTTAGTAAGTTCTTAAAATACTTTAGTTTAAATTAAATGAAATGAATGGAGTTTTATGTCCTACTTTTTTGCACAATGTGGGCTAATGAAGTCCAGCAATGCCATGCAGTGTGTAATGAGGGAAATTATGCCAGGACAGCAGCATTAGCCTGCTTTTTTTCGATTCTCAACTGTCGAGGAATCGTAGACTGTAAAAATCATATACTTGAAATGAAATGAATGGAGTTTTCCTTCCTACTTTTCTACACCATGTGGGCTAATGAAGAAGGGTAACGCCATGTAGGGTACAATGAGGGACATTTTGCCAGGACAGCGGCATTAGCCTGCTCTTCTATTGGATTTCCAACTGTTGAGGAATCTTCATCGTGCACAGCCTGCAGCACACAGGGACTTGATTTATTGTCCCATCCAAACGACTAAATGCTTTTCCATGTCAGTCCCTCTTACCTGCATCACTGACAGGGGGAAACCAGGTTGAAAAATCTGAAGGTATTATCTCGACCTATGCCAGGATTGAACCCTGGACCGTCCGGCTAGTGAGCAAGTGCCTAACTCCCTGAGCCCAATTACCTAGTGTAATGGATTTATCATCATATAGAATAATTCTCAATATATATATTTATGACATCAGGTAAGTCCATGGATGAATATATACTCTCAGAGGCCAAGAAAAGTCCTCGTTTGAGAAGTCAAATTCAATATTCATTCATAATAGGTAGTATTCCTTTAACAATTTCTAAAACACAACACTATATATTCTCAAAACGATCTAAGCGCTAGGATGTCCTAGATTCTTATCTTCTAACATTGTTTCTAGGACATCCTAGAGTTAAGATCGTTTCGAGAATATGTCGCCATTATTCTGGACAAGAAAGTCTATGAAGTTTCAAAGTTTTTTTTTCCTATTACTAATTACCAGAAACAGACTGTAATATTTCATAATTAAGTCCATGAAGACTTAATGACATTTAAATATCCGATCTTAACCAAACTAACTTAAGAAATTTGTTTCAATTTCAAAATTTATTTACTACCAGATGAAGTGTCGTAATTTAGGTCAGTGGGTAAAAGGTCACTCTGTCTCTTTAAATCAGAATTGAAATAAACTGAACACTTCATTAAAGGGCATCTGCCAATATTTTGTTTTGGTATTAAGGGCAAAAGCCGAAACGAAATCCACTTAATATTAGATTACAATTTTTTTTCGTTATTATTTTTCGATGATCTCCATTCTAATATAAAAGGATTTATACCATGAAAGCATACACAATCAATCACAGGGCGTCATGCAGAGTTCATGTCTAAATATCAACTATGAATTGTGGGATATTAGAGCTATATGACCAATGAGATTATGATGCTCGTTTGTAAAAGTGATCATGATTGGTCGGGGAGCGGCGCATGTTGGTTGTGCTATGAATAGCTTAAAAAATCACCAGTACGTGATCTTGGTATAAATCTCGTTAGATTACAACAGAGACAGACAAAAAAATATCAAAACGGTCCAGACTGGGCACAGGTACAGCCATCAGAAGTTTCTTTGTTTCGGGTCGCAACTGAATAAAGATAGGAATAAACAAAAAAATGGTGACCATTAAAGTAAAAAAGTGGATCATTTCTGCATCATGTCTGGCCTATATCTCATGCATCTGTTCATCTATTTTCTATTACCAAACCAGACAAAATTCACTGTACTATGCCCAAAGCAAATGAATATCAAATGTAAAGACTGGTGTCTCCACTACAGCAAGGAGGGCAATCTGATTGGCTAATGATATCAACATTCAACATAAACAGTTATACAGTCTTTTAAACCATTCCAAAACAGTGTCATTTTTAAGGATCACAAGGTAGGTACCACCCAATAGTCAAAGGGGGGTTCATAGCACCAAGAATTTAAATACTCAATGATTAGAAATGTGAAGGGGAGCGGGGAGCAAAGCTGGACCTGACCACGGATATAGGACCTTGCTGCTTTTGTGTCACTTGGCTGTAACGTCATAACTTAGCATGTCATTCCAATAGGTAATTTGCAGCAAGACATTTACGAAAAAATGTAACAGAAGTTTGACATGTGCTTTTTCCCAACCTAAGACAATCCTAAGTAAGACACTTCTACAGCTTGTACAAAAATCTACTATCCATTCTTCAATAGTAAAATTTGAAATCCACTATTTCTATTTCTAATTCTATCAAGGATTATCCCTTTAAGTAATATATTTTCTTTGTATTAAAAAGTCACGTAAGAGGTCAATTTATCATGGTTGTCAACGCTGTCATCAGAAAACAAAGACAAGACATTACATTATTCATTACACTTGTGGTTTCCTTCCATTTCAAAATATCAATTTGTTACGATACCAGAATATTTACATTAGCTATTTTCCGTTGGACTAATGCTAACACGCATTTATTCAATTTTCCAGCCAACCTTGTCCTGATATATGACCATAACCGCCATAGGGTAACAGTTTATTTCTTAAAGAATCCAATAAATTCTAGATGTGATGAAAAAATCCCTGATAATACAAAGAAAAAGACATTTACATAGGTGTTAAGGGGAAGTGTTGCATTATGGGAGGGAAAGGGGTAGAGACTGTGTGTGTTACTCAGAGGTAGTGTATTTACGTCAAGTCACAGGCCAGCTGATTATTCACTCTCTAAATAATCAATGGAGACCGGTTTTGCCTACGTAGGTTTATCATCTAACCAGTGGCATTTCTGAGCCTTGACTCTTCTCCCAGCTTCCGAGGAGGCTTAAAATACACATTATCGGGTGAAAATAGATCGAATTACCATCTGAAAAGGGGGATTAATTAATCAGGCAATGATAAAATTATTACGTGATGAGATTAACGCATGTTACTGGCAATCAAGATACAAGTAATGATAGATATTTTGTTGATTTATGGTAAGTTTATTGAAAACAGTGGGTCCCTCAAAAATTTGGTTAGAAAAAAACAAAAAATCGGTAGAATTGGGCATACCACATTTAGAGCGGTGGACAACATGTAAAAGCGGTAGAAACCCGACAACATCGGTAGATTACACATGTATATCCTCCCCTCACCCTCACCCAAACTTTCAAATACATCAATTTATATCATTTTACACACAGAAAGAATTGCTTGTGAGCCCGTCTTGACAATATTGTGGCCCAACATGGTCCCTCAACTAATCATTTATAACACCACTGAAACTAAGAATATCCCTTTCTGAAATAGAGAAATTTTGCCATAATGAGAGCAACAGTTCAATTTACATCTGCACAGGATCGAATGGGACATATACACTTTTTAGGGGTCATTTATGACCATATTTTATGGCCATTTTGGTCAGGTGCCAATTTGAACATAACCAGTCTGGTGGTCAGATTTACAATAGGATATAGTACAAACCTGCGAGACTTGGTCGTAGTCCAGGTTGTTTAGTCTTTTCATATTCTGACAGAATGAATGCTGGGATATTACTGATAGCTTTACCCTGGTTGGAAATTGCTGTCTGTCTCCGTAGTGATGAATGATAAATTCCTCGTGGCAATTCATCAACTTCTTTACCCACAATTCCAGACAGGAATACTCCATAATCTAAAAATAAACAAAACACAAGTTTTTATAAACTACCTATTGTTTCATTGTTTGTCAATCAAAGAAAGATTACTAAAGTTAGTGTTTTTAATCTTTCACTAACTTTGATAATACACTTAGTCAAATATTGGAAAGTTCGCCTCCATTTCGAAAACTGTCCTGTTGGAGACTGTTTATGTGTCACCAGAATGAGCTTTATTACAAGGGATATTTCATTCTATACCATGTTCCTGTAAATCTAACATGGATGTCCATAGCAACAGAGGACTGAGCTGAGAACAACGATTTATGATAAATAATATAAATTGGTACAAGCAAAACATTTCTGTCAACAAATCTTTTCAAAAATATGAGAAGTTGACAGAAATTAGGAGGAATAACTGTATAGTAGTGGACTCCTCCAGAGAAAAGTACCATCATGTGTTTTGAAAAGAGTAAGCATGGTCTGTTTGGCGAGCCACCTGCCTCTGTATTTTTATTCTTTATGTAATGTATGTAAATTGTAGTTTAGTGGGACCTACTGAAAATTGGACTTTTGTTTAAATGGGTTGCCAAAATAAGGTTATTATTAATACTATATTACCTTTCAGAACCTCTGTAGAAGTAGATTGTAATATACGAATATAACAGACTGACGGCACTGAAACATGATAATTTATATCTTCATTTCCTTTATTCTTTTCCTTTTTCTCGATTTCTTCTCTTATATCTTTTGTAACCTTTAAAACAAGATTACAAATTAAACAACGAGTGTTTAATGTGTTTCTTAACAATCCATGAACCCTAATGTTAAAAGATTTGAGCGACATTAAGAAGCAGAGAGCAGATCTAACAAAAAACACAAGAGAATATATTATGTTATAACTCACTTCTTTAATAACAAAGCACATAACATTTCAACACAATTTACATGTGTCGTCATCAGATGAAAATTTTTGTCCTATCTTACACTGTATATCTATTAATCTATTTTGAATATTAAAGTCAGATGAAACTGTGGAAAAGGGCGAGTAAAAACAAAAATCAATTTACATTGCAAACTAAGAGAAAGACATCAAAATTTTTGTTTCGTCTCTACTTTGTGGGCAATATGAGTGCCACACAGGGTTTAATTTAAGAGGCATCGCATCACGATAAGCGATTCATAATGACCACTTTTACAATCAAATATTTCCTTTGATTAGCCAAAATCACAATTTATCACTAAGCTACAAATTGTATATTTGAAACTTGAAGGTTTGCTACTGGAATGTTTTTAATTGCTATCGATTTTAAAGAAATGTGAATCAAAATTAAACTTGATAAGCCAAAACTAAAACTTGCTGTTATAAATCGCTTATCAAAGTTTTCAATCTAAATTGAACTCTGGTGTAACAGTACAAAATTGTCGCCTTGTTTCTTTGAACAAAGTACAAAAATAACATATCATACATGTAAAAATGGATTTTTCCTGTCATTGCCTCATCAATGAATAGAATTCCACGTCATGCATGAAAGAGATTTACTGTTAAAGGTTTAAAAAGTTATGTTAGAAATAAAAAACCCTACAAGCATGACAATTCTGTCAATGGTTAAGTGTTCAATTGCTATAATAATCAGAAAATGTAAAAATCGTGTTTAAAAATAATGAAGATAAATGAACTTGTAGAAAGTTAAAACAAAATCTCTTTAATAACGATTATTAAACTAAAAATACAGATAACAGTTTATTTTACACGGAAAATAACTTTGTGTTTATCTTCGCTAAGTTATAGTCACAACTGACAGTTTAATAATGTTCATTCTGAAAAAGATGTGGGCTGAGAAGATGGCCAATTAATGTTGCTCTTAGCCTTAAAGGGACTGTAAAGAGGTTTTTAAAATTCTTTCATGTGTATCGGGGACACTGATAGTATCAATTTACACCATTCCAATTTTCAATCAGACGTCTGTGGATCTTGTAATTCCACTAGAACTAGCTGTTGTATGACGTCACTATTGCAAAGATCCTTGTAAATCAAGCTTTTACAATAGTGACGTCATAATACATATGCATCTAGCTTTGTCAAATTGACATCCCTTGAGTCCACATAGCCGTTGATCCATGACATTTTAACTGGAGGGTGGTGGAAGGTGCATGGTCCACTATAACTGAGGCTTCTCCCAGCTCTCCACTTTCCCAAATAGAGAAAGAATTGATCATGAACCCCACTTGACATTCTATTCCCCCTACTTGGCCCCCATGCCCTCTCCCTCCACCTAATGTATAGATACATCACTACTAATTTTGTATTTATTATGACCTCACCTGTTTTGGAAGCTGATCAATATAAAACTGGTTAAGATTATAAGAAGCGAGAGCCTGGTAAGCAGCACCCTGGACCCTAGCATGTTGACTCTGACTATACATCCATAGTTTATTAACTACATCATTCATAAACTCCTGAAAAATATAGATCATTGTCAAATTAGTTATTATTTATTAGACACCCAATTTTCTGAGTCTGCTAACGCGCATTTATTCAATTTTCCAGCCAATCTTTGTCCTGATATACAACTCTAACCGCCATAGGGTAACAGTTTATTGCTTAGATATCCTGAATGATAGTAATGTCATCTGGTGTAACTGGGCTATGGCTGCTCCACCAACCACTAGAGTATTATATATCTAAAATTACTGTGGCCGTAAGTCATTGTTGTAAGGATGAAAAAGCCCGATTGTATTTCTTACCTCATATTCAGGATTATCCACAGCTAAATTAGGAACCAGGGCAAACAGTTCACAGATTTTTTCTATTACAGCTGGTCTGAAACAAAGTGACATGAATTTGACTTTTTTCAAGAATAAAACACAAAACTACAGAATTGTTGTCAGAAACAGAATAACAAAAATGATCACATCACAAAACGTTAATCAAAAATCAATGTCTAATGTAACTGCCACAAAAGAATAAATTGACAACAGAGAATTTATTTAATAGAACAATTGATTAAAAACTTTGGTTTTTAACAGAAGAAAAAAAAAAAACTTCTACTTCTTTGCAAGTGATGTTGAATAGACATGAAAATGTGAACAAAATCACGATACATGTTGGAAGAGAAAAGTGCACAAAGCTTTCAAATCGTGCTCGTAAACAAGAGTATATTGTCTTAGATTTTAAAGAAAACTTCACAATAAGTGTACTTATAATTTTTTTTATTAAATATTTACAAGCATTCCATTAAAACTCAAATAAATAATAAAAATTCTTCAACAAGATGTCTGACATCCTGGCAAAAACAAAATATAATCCTTTAAAAGCCTGTCAGGTGGTATAACAAACAAACACATTCTTCTGTAAAAGGACATTATCATGCATGTTTACTGTGATATATCACAGGAATTTCCAGAAGAATTGTCTGATTCATGTAGAACAGGTGTTGTCATGATTAACACTCAGATACAGAAGTAAACTTCAAGATGGGTTCCCTTATTTTCGTTTATGAAAATGAAAATGGTAATATTTATATGAATAGAAAGTAGAAGTTTCTTAATGACTTAAAAAAAAACCAGTTTGTCTCTCAAGTCAATAATTAATTCATAATTACAAAATCACGAAATTAGCCATAACTGGGTTGTTGGCAAAGGTAAAAAATAATATAAGAAATAACGATTGGCTGTGCGACCAGTTATCCCTGATTATCAGTGACTAGAACCCTCCTACCTTGGAAAAAACCAATCCTGGTACTGATCAACCCCGTTAACCCCAGTAAAAATCCACCCTGGTAACCCTCATAATTACGAACCCCGGGAACCCCGGTAAAACACAAACCCTGGTAACCTTCCACCGAGGTCCATGAACAGTATAAATAGAACCTTGCAAGATGAATCTAATGAGTCTGAAGAGTTCAAACACAAACGAAACCAGTCACTGATAATCAGGGATAACTGGTTGCACAGACAATCTTTATCTGTTATATAAATATTAAGTAAATAAATATTTTGAAGGACGAGGTCGAGATTGGGTTGGTAGTTTTCTAACTACAATCATTTAATATCACTAATTTAACTACTTATCAGCAGAAACACACGAATTAACGATCGGTTGCCTAGCAACATATGCCCACTTCTTTGATAAATTTTCAGTATATCACGGGCAGTCACCAATCTTTGTCAAAATTAATAATCACATCAAATTTCATCAAAATCAGATAAATACTGTTGTTTCTATTGAGTTCACAAGCAGGACTAACTGACAGATAGAATAGGGGTGATGATAAAATACGACCACATTATAATGTCAGCATATAAAATGAAATAAAATAGAGATTTGCATCCTTATAATTCTGCTCCAGTTAGAATTAATGAATAATTGGCAACATCAATTTTTTGCGGGAAGAGAAGAGTAAATAATTTTCGTAAAAAGTGTGCTTACCTCTTGTCAGTGGTAAGTTTTACAGCTAGAACATTCCAGGCTGATTTTATATCTATTACCTAATAAAATATATATCGAATCCAAATTATCAGGTATGACATACACGTAACTTCAAGGTTTCCTTGTTTAGTAAATATAGGGCTACCATAACATTTATTGTAAAAGCGAAAGTAGAATCTACCAGATGTTGTTATAAAAAGTGTGTCACATGAGCTAAAAATACACATTATCAGGTGAAAATAGATCGAATCACCATCTTAATTGGGGGATTAATTAATCAGGCAATGATAAAATTATTACGTGATGAGATTAACGCGTGTTACTGGCAATTAAGATACAAGTGATGATAGATATTTTGTTGATTTATGGTAGAGAATTCGGACATTGAAAACCATAGGTCCCAATTTGTTCGAGAAAAAACAAAAAAATCGGTAGAATTGGGTATCCTGCCGGTAAAGCGGTAGACAACATGTAAAAGCGGTAGAAACCCGACAACATTGGTAGGTTACACATGTATGGATGTGGAAAAATCATAATACCAAATAAACATCATAAGATGAGCAGACACTGTGAAAGAGATGCTGAGTTAACAAACATGAATACCTAATTAACATTTAGAGATGCAGACGCTGTGAAAAGATGCTGAGTTGATAAACTAACAAAATAAATAAAAAAAATAACATTGTTTATGTCAACTTTTCAAAAAGGAAGCTTGGTGCACAAACCCTACTGCAAATCAAACAATTATAATTCTGGAAATAAACCAACCTCTGCTTCACACAGCATATATAATGCTTCTAGTGCCAGGGCAGCAGCTGTTACCATAGAAATATCAGAACATTTATTGAGAATATCAGAAACTGGTGCCAGCAGATCTTCCCCGTGTTGTTCAGGTCTGAAGTAAAAAATTTCCAAATCTAAAATATTTTCTGCAATGTTTTTATCACTTTGTAAATTTGAAGTGGAAGGAAGTGGAAATGAAATGAATGGAGTTTTACATTCTACTTTTCAGCACCATGTGGGCTAATGAAGACGGGCAACTCCATGCAGGGTGCAATGAGGGAAATTTTGCCAGGACAGCGGCATTAGCCTCCTCTTTTTCTATTTCCAACTGTCGAGGGATCTTTAACAGGCACAGTCTGTAGCACACAGGGCCTCAGTTTATTATCCCATCTGAACAACCAGTTGCTTTTTCCATGATAGCCCCTCTTACCTGCACCACTGACGGGGGAAACCAGGTTGAAAATCTGAAAGTATTCTCTCAACCTATGCCAGGGTTGAACAGGTTAGCGAGTAAGCGTCTAACTCACTGAGCCACCAAGGCTCCCACTAAGTGAACTTTTCAGTTAAGCCCGTCTCACAATAAATTTTAGTGTTCCTGTCATATGATTAGACAATCAATAAAATTGTAATTCAACATTTTAGCCAATCAGATTTATTTATCAAATTCTTGGTTGTGTCTTATTTAAATCTGAGTGAAACAGACCCTTGGTTGACAAGGCTTAAACAAAACTTCATAATCTTTCATTGTAACAATGAGATATTTCAGGATAGTAAAACTCAAAGAAAATATCAAGAAATAAAGAAACAAATCAGATTGCCTCACCTGAGATGGCAAATTTCTTTAATAGCCAGAGCCTGAGCTATGATGACAGTGTTACTAGACGACGGCTCAGTGACCAGTTTTATCAGATGAGGGTAACAACGATCTTGTATCTGCCATAAATGAACCATCAATCTGATAGCTAATGGTTGTAGTTTGATAGACGTACTAAACATTTGTATTGTCTTCAATATGGGCCCTATACAGACCTAAAATATAACAGACATATATCACGGCGGGTAGCTGACTGGGATCACATTCACACAAGCTCATCTCATACTGCCAATCACGTTTCTGATATACAATCTTCATCAGTATGTTTTAAAATCAGGGGTATTTCTTCACAATTGGGGACTTAGGTAAAATAAGCATCATGTGCTGAAATATGTTTCAGATACACCATCCTCATCAGAATTGCTAGTTTTCAAAAGGCAGTTAACATTCAAAAAATGGAATTTGGATATATAAGCAATGAAATGAAATGAATGGAGTTTTACGTCCTACTTTTCTTCACCATGTGGACTACGAATATATAAACTAAAAAAACTAATTTATCAAACATTATTGAGAAGGTGACAAGAGTTTTCACTTTACATTAATCCTTGTCTCCTAAAAGTTTTAAGATATCTGCCTCTTTTCTGAAAATGCATTTGAGAGCAAACCATATCCCTTTCTGAAGATATATAAAAAAAAAAGACCAATTGTTTAGAGACAGGCTGTAATATTACCTTATGTCGTGCAAACAATGGCACAAATTCCATAATCAGAAGTCTGGAGCCTGCATCTTTATTTCTGCCAAGTTCATACAACAACAACGACAAAAAGTTTGGCGCCTAGAATTAAAAAAAGGAAATCTCTTTGTCAATTTTTGACGATGAACATTGAACAAGACAAACAGTGAATAACAAACTTTGTAAAATTTTCAATAAAACTATAAAAAAGAAGGATGAAATTTTCAGTAATTTAGCTAAAACTTTCTCACATCATAAAAATATTAAATTTACAATATAATTGACAAAATAAATGAAAAACAACAATGAATTTACATGGAAAAAAGACAAATCATACAGCAAATCATTAGCAAGCGAATAGCAAATCCTGTTTTACCTGAGAATTATCTGCTTTGGCAATCTCAACGAGTAATTCTAGAGTCAATTTCTTCAAATCATATTCACTAACAGAAACAAACAGTGCTGCCACCATATTGGTTGTCGTGACAGAGATATTCTGGAAACTGCTGATGGAATTCAGAACATTCTGAAGCCATTTCCTGGCATTTTCAGGATCATGATTAAAGTCTTCCAGTAAATTGACAAACATCTGGGTCTGGTGACCATCTTCTGTGAAGTAAGCGGGAGAAGATTTCTGTGGACAAAAATGAAGGTCAATATTTATCCACTCCTGGCAAAATTGGGAGTGTTTCCCATTTCACAAATATTCTTATGATTCAATTTTGTCATCAGTATTTCTCAAGATAAAATTCTACATTTAAGACAAATTCTTATCATTTTGGACCAAAGTCTACTGTAGTCTGATTGGTTGATGTTATTACAATGCTAATATTGAATATTAAGATACAAGATGAAATACTGTCTGACTAGTGGTCATTGAATCGCATTTTGCCAATTTTTTGTCATGAATTGAATAATCCATTCCAAAATACTACTGAGAGTATTGGATTGTCATGGGTTTGTTGAAAATTTTAAAACAAACAATTAGGGAAACTATTTTACGTGACATTTGGACCAACTATACAAGTTCCTGTTGGAATGCTGATAATCAAAGTAAAGTTTAGCTTCAAATATTACCTTTTCAACTGACTTAGAATTCCCATCTGATTTTTCAATCAGTGAAATAATTTGAGAGGTTAAAGATTTGATCTGTTCAGATCCAGGTTGTTCAGTAGGTATTGATAACAACTGTAATAGTGGTAATATTAATATGGATTGAGTCAGTTGATTGGTAGTCTGACATCTCTCTAGTACATTCTTACCTGAAAATATACCATATATTTTCATGTATAGTGCTCAGTTTTTTACCCTAGAAAAGCTTGCCAAGCAGGGTGAGCATTACAGACAGTAACAACAATTTTGTATTTTTTCAGCAGAGGTTCCCCAGTCAATATTGACAATCCATCATTTAGTAATTGATCACTGAAGGTGGAAGGTGATAACATGGAATATTGTAACCCCTAGTACAATAAATATTGGTCATGGCTATTTGAAATGGAGATATTGAGTTTTACACCCAATTTTCACATCCAATAAAAGATACATAAATTCAATGTTCTCTTCTTGTGGCCTTGGCCAGTGTTTCTATGGAGTATCTACTGTTACATCAAATACCCCATGTCTTAATGTGCTGATGTCTCAGTCTGAGTTCATATCATCTAAATTATATTTCCTGAGAGAGAGGGGGAGGGGGAAGATGGAGGGGGGAAGATGGAGGGGGAAGGGGGCGAGGGCGGTAGTTAACAGGTAGATCCATTGAACTGAAATATTTCAAAAACAAACTAAAAGACAAAGACAAGTTCTATAAACTTACAAATACACAAGATTGAGTCCGATATTTCATAATCTACCACCATTAATAGATCTGATATCAGTAGAATAATATTTTCTACATAGTCAATCTGAAATACATAAATAGACAACAATCAGACAACAATGTTTCTTTTAGTAGGTGCACAGAGTTATCTGCCCATCTAGGCATGATTCAAATATTAAAAATCAAAGTATAAAAACAGACCAAAAAGATGTTACAATAATTGTCAAAATACTCAGTAGGCTAATAAAAGACATTAAAATCTGCCTGGTGCCAAAACCTGAGCCAAGATTTTCATTTTATCGTTAGTTCTAAATCAACACAAATTCTCATAAGCTTTTTCATGGAACAAGGCCCTGGAGCAGGCCTGAAGCTAGAGGGGTGCCAGACCCCCGTCTGAAAAAATTAAGATGACTTAAATGACTTGTTAAGTCGCTATAGTTCAATAGTTGAGCCCTCCTTAAAAAAAATTGGCCGCCCCCGAAACCCTGGGACCTATGGGCCTGCCCTGGGGGAGGGATCCACTAACTATTCACTTTATTTTGTGACTCATTGTCAGGAGATAGAGGTAACATGTCCTTTAATTTGTAATAAGTAGAAACTGAGATAGACTTAAATAATATATATATCATCAAAGATAACTTATCCAATATACAAAAATAATCTCATCAAAAAATCAAGAATATTAATAATTTTCTTATTCTAATAATCAAAGATAAAAGAATCATTTAACCAAAAAGCTTTTTCCCAGACATATCAAATATGTTATTTCTTTACCGTTTGGCAGCATTCCAGCATTTGTACAAGACCCTGCAACAATGTAATAACATGTAGGTTTTTCTTCAAGCATGATTTAATAATGGTAAAACTCAGAACTAATAAAGCACACGGAACTTCCTGTCTGACTTTTCTACTGCCAGGGTTAATTTTCTGCACTATTTGAGTCAGAAACTCAAGACTGTAGCCCAGATTATCAGGTGTTTTTATCTGAAAAGAAAAATCTTTATTGAAGAATATTCCTACAATTATTTTTTATATTCCTTTTAACATTAATATGACCAAAGGGAAGAGGCTTTCACCCACATACCTCTTTTCTCCCATGGGTTCTGTTTCTTACAATAAAGGCAGAAAGAAACATTGTTACAAAAATATCAACATAGATTCACAAAAATTCTATCTCAAATTGTCCGTGGTCAAACTTCTAGTCATTTGATCTTTTTTCGGATTATCTGTTACTATTTTCAGCTGGAATGTTCGGTATAATGAATCATGACAACATATTTAAATTCACTAGAGTTTCACACACAGATTAACGACTTGTTGCAACTACCATTTATTTGTTGTAACCAAAGAAAGTATTATCAATATCAAACCCTGGACCTTCAGGTTAGCGAGCAAACATATTAAGTCATCACAACTCCCCCCTAATTTTACAAATGAGCTCTCTGTATGATACAGTTTCATAATGGTAAAAATGCATGTGTGGAAGAGTTCAACAGAGCATTGAGGGAGGTCAAATGGATGAGTTGTAGAATATATCCAGCACCAACCCCACTACAGATAAAAACTATATTTTTCTGAAACCTCAAAATATACTCTTTCAATACTTTATCAATGTTAACAATGGGCTTCACTAAAAAACAAAATTGTCATTATGCATGTTGGTTTTAGCCAAAAAGTCAAAGAAAAAAAGCTTTCAAATCTCTTTAAACCATTAAATGAAGGAGTAAAAAAAGGTTGGTGATGTAATTTATAGAAGTTTGTCTCTAGACTTTAAATTACTATCTAACACATTAATTCTAAATTACTTTTTTTACTGTTAAACTTTGATCAACACTCAATGACCAATGTTTCATTAAGTTGGAGTCAAACACCTTTCAATGAACTTGTGAAAGATTTAAACAAACTATATAAGCTTTGTGGACTCTCTGAAAGGATGCAGAGTTGACAAACCTAAATACAAAATAAACATTATTAGCTATGTGGACTCTCTGAAAGGGATGACAAGCCAACAAGATACTATTATCTCACTATAATCTATTTGGACTCTCCTATGGAGATGCTGAATTGACAAACCAAAATACCAAATAATCACTACTATACATGTGGACTCCCCTATCTGACACTGTACACTGTGCCTATTCCAATCATCATTAGCCTAATAAATTGCATAAAAGTAGAAAGTAAAACTTCATTCATTTCATTAGTTCAATAAGGTACAGAACAGTAGGATATAAAACTCTATTTCATTTCATTAGTTCAATAAGGTACAGAACAGTAGGATATAAAACTCTATTTCATTTCATTAGTTATATAAGATACAGAACAGTAGGATATAAAACTCCATTTCATTTCATTAGCTCAATAAGATACAGAACAGTAGGATATAAAACTACATTTCATTTCATTAGTCCAATAAGATACAGAACAGTAGGATATAAAACTCTATTTCATTTCATTAGTTATATAAGATACAGAACAGTAGGATATAAACTCTATTTCATTTCATTAGTCCAATAAAATACAGAACAGTAGGATATAAAACTCTATTTCATTTCATTAGTCCAATAAAATACAGAACAGTAGGATATAAAACTCTATTTCATTTCATTAGTCCAATAAAATACAGAACAGTAGGATATAAAACTCTATTTCATTTCATTTTCAACTTCATTTTGTTTCGTTCATTCATACTGATTTTTTGTTAGCTCAGATTTTCTTTTATAATAAAGAGATTTTATTACTTTATTTACACCACAAAAGTGCAATGAAACTTGTTTGAAATGATTATTTAAGAATTTTTGCCATTAAAACAGTTAACATTAAAATGTAAAGTGATTTTTTCTCAAAGGTACAAATTGGATGAAATGAAAACAAATGGCAATTTTACAGGATAATATGATGATATATTGGAATGGGGTGCTATCTGACATACAAAAACCATTAAATAGGTAAAATAATGAGTAAAATGGAAGAAACTGTTGAGTTTGCAGACTTATCTCTCATTTATATTAAACTTCAATCTAAATCAATAAACCACTAAAAACTTTTTAAAAGGTTAACTTTTCAAATTTAAAATGGTTTCATTCAGCATTAGGAAAGATATCACAGACAATAAGTTTACATAAATTGTACTTTTGTTGCGAACTTTTACTTTAGATATTTTTACCCTAGTATACTTAAACAGTCAATGAATTCTTTTTATTTATTTTGCTTTGACAGAAAAAAGACAGTTCAGAAGAAAAGATGGCCTGTTATTAATCATTAATAATCTACATCTTTCAGATATATTTCAAAAGAGAGGTGTACTCTCTAGGTTTGACTTAATATCTAAGAAAAGAAATAGGTTTTATAAATTTTTTCTATATTTTTTTAAAGACAATTGCAATATCAGCCTCAAAATAGTTCAGTTAGTCTTAGAATGTCTTTGCCTTGATAAAAAGATAGCTTGCCAGGCAAGGTAACATACGCCCACTGGCAGCTGTCAGAAATGATTAAACAGTCTTTAGTGACTACAGGGTTGCACAATATAGCTAATAGAGTGAAACGTCAAGTCAGACACGATATTTCGGTGAAATATTATCCGATCATCGCGAAAATCGATAGGGATCATCTTCATAATGACATTGACACACAAAATAAAAATCAAAAGAATCTGTAAAAAATTGTAGCCTGTAGAGTGAGCACGAGTTGCACAATATAGCTAATAGAGTAAAACGTCAGGTCAGACACGATATTTCGGTGAAAAATTATCCGATCATCATGAAAATCAATAGGGATCATCTTCATAATGACATTGACACACAAAATAAAAATCAAAAGAATCTGTAAAAAATTGTAGCCTGTAGAGTGAGCACGAGTTGCACAATATAGCTAATAGAGAAAAACGTCAAGTCAGACATGATATTTCGGTGAAAAATTATCCGATCATCACGAAAATCAATAGGGATCATCTTCATAATGACATTGACACACAAAATAAAAATCAAAAGACTCCATAAAGAACTGTAGCCTGTAGAGTGAGCACGAGCCAAATGTGAACGGACGGACCGACGGACCGATTACAATATACGCCCATCTTACGTCTGGGCGTATAAATATAATATTTTGTGAGCTTAGATTGAAAATAAACACATTTCCCTCATACAAATTTCAACCAAAAAAGTTCAAAATTTTGGCTGAAAATTGTCCTCTGTAAAATCAAATTTTGAAGACCTAATGTGTGCTTATGTTTATATTTTTATCAACTGATGTTCCAGTTCTTATAAAGGTGTTGGAAAAGATTCAAAAATCTTTGAACTTTGCTCATAGATTTTGCAACTAGCAAATGGTAGCATCTAGTAGATTCTGATCAATAGCTGAATTAAGGTGATTCAAGCACACATATACAACAGAAAAATTGCTATTGCAGCTGTTTATTGTGTTCTACTTTCTAATCGTAATTGTTGGTCTTCAGTAAATTTTTCAATATGAACATTCCACTTATAAAAACAGTAACAGATCTTATGAGATTCCTTGAATTGCCACTCCACGGGCTCCCACCTTTTGCAATTTTTCAATTCTGGAAACTTTAGTTCTAAGGATTTTGAATGAGTATATTTCAGTTGTGTCTGAATGCTATAAAAAGTTTTGTAATAATTGTGTCAAGGAAAACCATCTTCCTGTCAGGCAAAGAAAGGAATTTCTGGTGGATGAATAATTGAAACCTTATGGAAATAAAGGGAAGTAATTAAAGATACCAGCAGCCTACTGACCTGTAACCCAGGAAGTAGACTAACCAATAGGTGCACTATTTCATTTGCTGAGTCATCTTGTTTTTGTATCACCCCTAGCAACACTTCCTGGATACCATGTCTCAATTGTTGATAAGCTGGAGTTTGTTGTGGTTCCAGAAACAGGAACTGTAAGAATGGTTTCAAGATTCTGATTGCCAGACATTGTACTCTGAAAAAAACAATATCAAAAATATTCAATATTTCTCAGCCAGAGGAGACGCCTAAAAACAAAATCTATGATCAATTTCACTGTTTCTGAATCTCTCATCTACATCAAGATTCAGGATATGATTTAACACTTCTGAAAATCAGTTCATGTAGCTAACATAATTACATTAACCCAAAAATATTATATGAGATGTGAAAATGAAATGAATGGAGTTTTTTCTGCACCAAGTGGGCTAATGAAGACAACTCAACTCAACTCAATAGAGTTGATAGATTGGAGAAGGAAGCTTTAAAGACGTCAGGTGGGGATTTTATTCAGTGACATGTTACCTTTTTAAGATTTTCGTTACGAGCCCCGTTCTTAATTCAATATGGCTGACGCTTGAATAAGGTCTATTGGCTGAACTAAAAATCATGTGACTGGATGAATTATGACAGTTCCTAGGTTTACCTAGGTCACACTATGTAATACTATTGTACTAGTTTCGGATGAGACTATGCCCAAGGCCTTTCATCTGCATAAAGCAGAATAGTAGCTGATTATCTCCCTTGACTGAATTGAAAACCTACATCAGTCCGGTACTAATAAGTCAGCTGGAAAATAAAGAGTCTTAACAAATGTGTACTAAACACCTTCTCTTAAAAGTACGGTCAAACAACACTTTTGCTTAAAGGGACAGCTGTACCATTTTTTTAACCAATTGTATTTTAGTCTCAGAAACGGGAATTTTTTTTTAGCTAAGCCAATCAGTCATAGTGCTTATAGCTCACTGTCTTCATTTTAACCTTCAAATCCATGTGTGTCTAGAATAATCTGTGTTTGAAAGTTAAAAAAACGAGTCGTCTTTTATTGAGACACTGCCATAGAAAAGAGCTATATAGAAATAGAAAGTGAAATTCCGATACTCCAAAATTTCGTACATTTCTAGTTCTTCTGAAGACTATTACATATCCTCAAGACTCAAATTAACACCCAAAAATGGGGCATCTGTTTCTTTAATTATGCTGTTTTCAGAGAAATGTGACATGAAGCATTAGTTCATTTCTTTTAAATAACCTGTCGACTTGTGGTCATGAATATTGCTTTTCTTCTAGTAAAATCAATGTAGCCGAAAGTGCCTTTTATAGCATATATTTTGAACTATTTATATCATTACCGTGATGAAGAGTTCAAAATATAGCTAATTACAAAACTATTTTCAAAATCAGACTGTTTTTTAATAATATATATGTAGTTCATAAAAAATATGACTTCCTCTACAGATATTAATAGGATAACCATAATTAACTACACTATGATAACAAAACTCAATGTTTTAATGTCTAAGAAAGAAACTAACAACTATAATTTACAAAAATACCACTAAATACACATCCAAATATACTTTCTACCAGCTGTTCCTTAGACAAACCTGTTTGCATTAATCTTTCCTGGATTATCTGTACCCATTTATAGCTGGGTCAACTGTAATTACGAGTGAAGATGACTTGTTCTAGTTCATCAGACTTTCACACATCGATCAGAGATCAGAACCCCCAGCCACTATTTGCACAATATTAAAGGAGCACCTTCACCATCCATTCGACCAATCATATCTTAGTTTCAGAAACAGGAATTTTTTCAGCTAAATTAATCAGTAATAGTGTTCACAGCTCATCATCAAAATTTGAGCCTTCAAATCAATGTGTATCCATAATTATTCACGTTTGAAAGTTAAAAATTCGACTTAAATTTTAGTGAGACTATGCCATATATAGAAAACATATATAGAAATAGACAGTGAAATTTCTAGTTTGAGGTATATTTGAAAGGATTATATGATTTTCGTGCGTTTTAGTACTTCTTAAGACTATTTAAGCACAATAAAGACCCAAATCAATCCCCAAAAATACTGTTTCCCTTTAACAAATAATATAATGATAAACACTGTGAAGAAGGTTTCAGTCCCAATTACTTTTCTTATAAAGCTGAGAAAAACCAACCAACACTCCCTTCCCTCTCTTTATCAAATTATTTTTAGGAAGTTTTTCTGTATACAGTGTTCAATAGCAGATACATTAAGTTATCCAACCAGGCACATACTCTGTCTTCATTAGCCCATTTGGTGCAGACAAGAAGGAAATAAAAAAAATTTTCAATTTTTAAACTATTTTTAGGAAGATTTCATAGAGACAGACAGAGGTACAAAGTACACTCGTCACGATCAGGAAACATGGAAATTAATATTATCAGGTCTCATGTCCTCAACTTTTTCCTGTTTGAAATTAAAGTCCAGTGCTATAATGCCAACTTGGAAAATAAACTTAAATCTGCTTAAAAAGTCTGGCAAGTGTTAACTCTAAAGGCTACTGAAGGTTTCTTTAATCTTTTTCATTTTCTAACAACAGCTATAGGCATCATTATTCCAGTCAACCAACTAAAACAACGAAGAGATAAGTCAATAAAGTTGCTGATGGTTAAAAACAATCCTAGAGCCTGTATCACACAATTTTAACACAATTACTATTTAAAGGGACAGGTTTGCCATTTTTTTGACCAATCATACTTTAGTCTCAGACACTGGAATTTTTAGCTGAGCTAATCTGTAATAGTGTTAACAGCTCACTGTCCAAATTTGAGCCTTCAAACTCACATGTATCAGAATTATCTGCGTTTGAAAGTTAAAATGACGACTCGTCAATTTAAGATACTCTGTGATATATAGAAGACATATATAGAAATAGTGAGTAAAAAAGTTTGAAGTATCTTTGAAGGAAATTTTTTGACTTTCGTACATTTCTAGTACTTCTGAAGACTATGTACGTATTTTCAAGACTAAAATCAACCCCCAAAATGGCACACCAGCCCCTTTAACTTATACATATTTTGGGTAATGTATATTAATTGAAACCCTTCACTGACCATTTGTACATATCAGATGATTCTTTTAACAAAAACAAAATCTGGACAAAATAAACATGAAACAAATGAATGGAGTTTTACGACCTACTTTTCTGCACCATGTGGGCTAATGAAGATGGGCAACGTCATGCAGGGTTCAATGAGGGAAATTTTTGTCTGCTCTTTTTCGATTTCTAACCTTCGAGAGATCTTTAATGTGCATAGCGTGTAGCACACGGGGCCTCGGTTTATTGTCCCATCCGAACGACTAGTCCCTCTTACCTACATCACTGACAGGGGGAAACCAGGTTGAAAAATCCGAAGGTATCATCTCGACCTATGCTGGGATTGAACCTTGGACCTTCAGGTTAGGGTGCAAATGTCTAACTTACTGAGAAATATTGAACAAGACTATTCCAGTGTGGCTAGTAATTTCGATACTTTAAATACCTAAAAACAAAGTCAAATGTTTGTGTTTATATTTTGCATCACTAAAAATGTCTTCAGAAATCTATAAACAACTGAAACCATCACGAAATAATGAGTACAGTTCATATTTTTGATTTAATTTGTGTCAAGAAGTCTGAAGTAGTTCATTTCTGGTTGAGAGTTTGGAAGAACTTGAATATTTCCACCCTGCTTATGAAGAAATGAGTTTAATGAGGCAAGTTATGATCATATTTGTCTTGCATTTCTATGAAGTACATTCATTTCTGGTTGAGAGTTTGGAAGAACTTGAATATTTCCACCCTGATTATAAAGAAAAGACGGCAAGTTAGGCTCATGTTTTTGTCTTCCATTAACCTTAAATATCTTTGCTTGTCTTCAGTATATTTTTGATTTAATTTGTGTCCAGAAGTCTGAAGTAGTTCATTTCTGGTTGAGAGTTTGGAAGAACTTGAATATTTCCAACCTGATTATGAAGAAATGATTTAAATAAGGCAAGTTATGCGAGTACTATCGTGTAGGAGTATGTTTTGATCTATATATAACTAAGAAGTGGGTTTACAATACAATTAGATATCAGTTATATCAGATCATAACAACATAACCATCTAAAACCGTCTAAAACCATCTAAAACCGTCTAAAACCTTAATGAGGTGACAGATTTAAAAGTTAATATGAAGGGGGCTGAAAAGTTCAAGAAGTTATTAAGAACAGATAAAAACAACCATTGTATTCAAAGATAACAACTTTTGATCTGATTCTGAAATTTCGGTCAGTTCCCGCCTCTCGATTGAGGAACAACTCATGGAGTTTATCGTCCTACATTTTGTACCTTTATCAAATCGGCCAAATGTCAGTCAAAACACGGAACTAAGCAAATCTGGTTAATTTCCTGCATCACAGTTGGTTTTAAATAGTTTCATTCAGAGAAGATATTCTAATTTATATATTTAGATTTATAGAGAAGTACATATTTCAGACTACATATCTTTCAGTGCTTAACATGAACGTTTCCACCTTTTATATTAACATATGACAAAATAAGAGTAAACACATTTCAATGGTTGTTTTTATAACACCTGATGGTACTTCTCTTTGGAGGAGTCCACTGCTACACAACTTTTACTCCTGATTTTGCAATACTTTGGATGAGATTTTGAATAATGGAATTGTCTTGCTTGTACAGATTGTGATAAATGCAGAAACACCTGATGGTACTTCTTTTTGGTGGAGTCCACCATTCCACAACTTTTACTCTTGAATGGTCTTGTTTGTACGATTTTATATTTATAAGCAATTGGAGCAATAATGGAAAGCCTGATGAATTCTTTGAATCAGTTGAAGTTATCTACCCAATAACAGAAAACGTTCAAGTTCTGCTTTCAAGTAGAAAATTGATGCTAGCAGATGAAATTTACAAAAAGCAAGTTATTAGCAGTTATTAGCAGTTATTAGCAGTTGTTAACAGTTGTTAGACTTGTTTTTCTTTCAGACAGAAATTTCAGTTGTAGAACAAAGAGAGAAGTTGGGGTGTCCAAGTTTATATTTTGTCATTGATCCCGTGTGGTTGGAAAGTTTCAATATAAGGATCAAATGGAGTTCAATAGAGGGCCTGTTGGCTGTGGATTCTGTTAGGTCTGGGTTTGTGCTCAATTGTTTGATTATTTGGTAGTCTAGACTTCAACTGGAGTGTCTCGGTAAATGGAAGTGGGAGGTGTGTCTCTCTTATGACAGATGTCAGTGTGTTCTTTCAGCCTAATGCAGAACATTCTTTTAGTTTTGCCAACATTTTTATGGCATAGATTACACAGTCATATGAAAGTAGATAACATTTCTGCTGTTGCAAGTCCAGGTTTTAGAACACATGTAAGATGTCTTGGTGATTGAGGAACAGATCGTGTTTTTGAAAATTCAGTTGTTGGAATTTGCATCCATCAAGTTGAATGTAGATGCTGGCAGTTGGATTGTCATCTGATGAAATGTTGAGAATTGGTCCCCTTTATCATCATTGCTCTGATTTTAAGAATTTTGCTAAAAAAACCCATCTTTAAGTTAAGGACATGTGTACTAGCAACTTCCTGATGATCTTGTGTAGTGGTGATAAGGTTATTAGGTTTATACTTGGTTAAATTTAACGAATATAAGATCATTAAAGAAGGACTCAAGCAAATTAACTTTCTACTTATTACAAATTTACAGTACAATACACCCCAGGCCTGAAGCCAGCAGCTGTCAGGCTTCTAATTCCTTCCTTATTAAGTTGAAATATACTATTTGATTGGTCACATTAAAAATTTTTACTTCATTTTGATTTGACCAATAAAAAAAGAATAATTTGACAACTACTGAGACTTAAATGATAACGGTTTTTGAAATTTCTTCTTCTGATATCTAAATCCTTGTTTTAACAACCAATTAGATTACAGTCTTTCTTGTTTCATCAACCAATCAGATTACAGTCTTCCTTGTTTTATCAACCAATCAAATTACAGTCTTTCTTGTTTCATCAACAAATCAGATTACAGTCTTCCTTGTTTTATCAACCAATCAAATTACAGTCTTTCTTGTTTCATCAACCAATCAAATTACAGTTTTTCTTGTTTCATCAACCAATCAGATTACAGTTTTCCTTGTTTTATCAATCAATCAAATTACAGTCTTTCTTAAAATATGGAATTCTTTAAAATTAAGTTTTTGAAAATAAAACCCTAGGGGTCCAAGTGACAAGAAACTCAAGGTAAGAAAGGTAGGTACTTAAATTACAGATACGTACATGCAGTTAACATGCATATAATGACGTAAACAATTCTATTGGTCAAAAAAAAAAAAGACGTAAATTACCTGTACATGCAGTAAAGATACAACTTATAATGTAAACAATTTTATTGGTCCATATAGACTAACAGTAATTGCAAGTGAAAAAACCAAACTGAAGGTGAGAAAGAATACAGTAACAAGATTTCAAAATTATGACAAACTCAATTATGAGAATCTAAGGCGCTTTTTCTATATCAGCCCCTCATACCCACGTTACTGACAGGGGAAAACCGGGTTGAAATATTCACATTATTCATATTATCTCATCCACAGGTATCTGAAGTTTCTGAACGAGTTATTTTAT